CCGCCCGATCTTTTGGCCGTTGCAGCCTCACGAACCCCACGAGAAATATCATACTCCGTGGTCGTGGGGCTATCCGTGACACAGGTAAACTCTAAACGGGGCATGTATATGGCTCGGGCTGTGTGACGATAGACATATGCCTCCGCTGTGAAGGGCGGAACGAGTTCCGGCAGCTGGATGGCTATATAAAGCCGGCGCCGGGAAGGCGCTGCCTTTTCAGTTGAGGGCAGAACAGACGTGGGGGCTGGAGACCGGAACATGTCAGGTGGTACTACGGATTATAGCAGGTATTCCTGGGTTTGGGGGGCGAGTTCGTGTCTTGTTTTCGTTCTGAGGTGATTTTAAAAGGAAGGCGGGGGAGGAGGAAGCGTGTGCGATGTCGGCTCGCTGCCGTTGGTGGGAAGTGCCAGCCCCGGTGGGTCCCTCTCGCGCTCGTCTGATCGGCCAGTTCTTCCCGCAGCTTGTCCGTTGCGGGGACCCGCCTCTCCACAACCCCCACTCCTGTGGCCCGACCTCATTCGACTTCGAAGGAAGCCGGCCATGGCGTTTCGGCTTGCAACCCCTTCTCCCGCCCCTTTTGGTTCATTCCGGCGCTTCCTGAACCCGGCTTCGGGCGAGTTCATTTTCACGCAGAGGGGGAGGGGCGCGGCCCTCCGGGCGCGTTCCTCCGCCTGCGTAGTGAGTCGGATTTGCGCAATCCCCGGGGGTGGGTGGAGCTCTCGCGAGAGTTGGCCGGTGGTGGCTGAGCAAGGCGGGGTGCCGCGGGAAACTCTTTGCTCTGGGTTCTACAGACGAGCTGGCCCAGGCGCGGGCCGCTCTTGCCTCCACCCTCGCCAGGCGGGTGCTGCAGCGCTCAGAGCAGATCCCGCCATTAGGGTGAGAGTGCTGGGGGGGGGCGCACCCTCTGCCACGTGCCGCTTCCGCGGCGAGGGAGGTGCTGCACGTTGGGGCCTGCTAGCTCTGCGTGCCGTACTGCCCTTTGGGGTGTGCCGCGCCTAGAAATATATAGGTGATCTTACACCAACAATGGGCAGCCTAAGCCTATGATTGGCCCTCCATCTCCGTGGGGGCTGCAAGATTATTGGAACCAAGACAGTTTCCTGGGATAGGATAGTTTTGCTAATTTCGTATGTGTCTGTAATTTGCAGGGTGTATCCCTCAAACCATAGCAGTGCCTCAGATGAATGCAGAGGGAGTGTATGGCGGTCTCAGGCAATGTGTGCAATCAGCATGAATCTCGCTTTAGTAATACCAGTAGGAAAAAACCTGCACAGGGCAGCCCCTGGCTGCGGGCGACAGTGGAGACTTGGGGTAATGGCATACATATGAATGAGGTGCAAAGGAGATGTAGTTTCCAGGCTGGCAAAATGCTAAAGCATTTGCTAGCATAATCAATCAATCACTGGTTTAAGTTCTAATGGAGTGAGAAATGCTAGTGGTATCCAAGCAAAATGCAGGACAATGTAGCACTTTAAAGACTAACAAGATGGTTTATTAGATGATTAGTGGTATCCAAGATATAGAGATCCTGTCCTACATGGCATTTGTTAGCTGCAAAGAGTGTTAACAGCCTGCTTTTTTGGCAACAGAGACCATGGCGGCCCAGAGGGAATGGACCCTGATGGTGTCATTGAGGTGAGCAGCAGCATAATAGCCTTTAGACCCAAATTCAGTATGGACATAGGTAATAGAGTAATAATCTGCCTCTTTTCCTTCTTACAGAGCAATTGGAATGAAATTGTTGACAATTTTGATGATATGAATTTAAAAGAATCCCTTCTCAGGGGTATTTATGCTTATGGTTTTGAAAAGCCTTCAGCTATTCAGCAGAGAGCTATTATTCCATGTATTAAAGGTAGGCAAGCACAAAAAAATCTTATGTCTGGTCATCAATAGCAGATATACATGTTAGAAAATAGGTCCTTTTTAAATGTATGTACTTTATGCACTTGTATTTAAGTGTGGTGATGGCGTACTACTTTTAATTCTTGCTTGATCAAGGGAGATGAATGGACAGGTCTTAATTGCTGATCACTTACTTCAAAAGGAATAGAATTAAACTAAATATGAATTACTTGTGGGAGGAGTAAATATATATCCTACTTTTTTTAGGGTATGATGTGATTGCTCAAGCTCAGTCAGGTACTGGCAAGACAGCCACATTTGCTATTTCCATCCTGCAGCAATTGGAGATTGATCTCAAGGAGACCCAAGCACTAGTATTGGCCCCTACCAGAGAACTGGCTCAACAGGTATTGATAGTGTAGTTAAAAAAAGCTGCTTGCGCGTTGCATAGGTTTCGGGTTTCACAACTGTGAAGGACAGTTAACAGATCTTTTTAAAGGAATCTGTAACTGTAATATCCATTCAGAATCCTTGTTGCTTTGAGTGTAATGGGGAAACAGACTAGCTTCTGTTTTAGGTTTTCCCTATCCATGTAAAGAGGGAGTTAAGATGTGACTTCGGGAGATGATGCTGGGACATGGTGCAGGTAACAGCTGATATGCTGTGTAGTTCTGAATGGGCATCTCCCAGCAAATGGTGAAATCTTAAAAATGATATGATAAAGTGATAAATTTTTTAATATTTGTATTTTTTTATTGTTTTTGTAAGCCGCCTTGAATATTTTAAATGGAAAGGCGGGGTAAAAATATTTAAATAAGCAATATGTTCTGAGTGGAAACAATGCATTTGAGTGTGCAGTTGTGCAACATGAAAACTGCAGTGCACATATGATCATTGTCTTGTGGTGTCTGTCCCATGCTTCCTCGCATGTTTACTTCACCCTCAAAAGATTCAAGTAACTTATTCATCTTAAAGTGGAGCTGTTTCATGGCTCTCCAGATTAAAATTACAGGATTCAATGTTAAATGGTTCTAAGAATCCATTGATTCATGGTTTAGTGATACAAGTGAAAGTATAAATAGCAATCTTAAAACCAAATTGCAGACCATTTTATACAGCACAAAAAATTTGCTTAGCACTCAAGTGAGGATATCTTTGGCTTCCTCAGATCAAAGATCAGAGTTTTGCTATGCTTGGATAGTTGTCCAAAGATGATTCTAAACCCCAAATTGATCAAAGTCTAAAAGATATTGAGGAAAAATTATGGTGCTAGATTAGTCAGTTTAGTGGATATCTCTCATTAGATTGTTCACTAATATTTTTACTCTGCCACTGCCTTCACAAAATGAGACTAACTAGAACTGGGTATCTTGCAGGTGCTGCTACCTGCATCATTTGGCCTTAACACTGAGGGTCTTGTTTGCCTAACAAAGCAATGAGTTTACCACATAGCTGAGTAGATTGTCTGACCAAAAACAAGTCTCGGCTTGGCTGGCAAGCTGTTCTGCTAGTGCATGTCACCAGAGATGGCTTTCTCAACTCTGTTGGAACTTTGCAGTTTGGCTTGTATGAAAGAAAATTCCTTATCGTATCTGAAGGAAAAGTTCTAGGGTGCAGTTGATAATAGAACTGTGTTGGTAAGAAAATAACTAGTATAAATTCATCCCAAGAAACTAACATGTTGATTATGCCTTTGGTGGTACTCTTGAATTAATATTTTAAATACATTTTGGGGAGTTTAGTACTAACTCTGACTAAGTTACCATACCAGGCAAGTGCATGATACTTGTTCAGAACTGAATAGTGAATTATAGGAATCCGTTTTGGAACCTAGAGAAAGTTAACACATTGGAAGTACTGACTTCAAGGTTTTTATTTTAGATACAAAAAGTAATTCTGGCTCTTGGTGACTATATGGGCGCAACATGCCATGCTTGTATTGGTGGCACAAATGTTCGCAATGAGATGCAGAAGCTTCAGGCTGAGGCTCCACACATTGTTGTTGGAACTCCTGGTCGTGTGTTTGATATGTTAAACAGACGATATCTTTGTAAGTACTGAATTTAGTTTCACTTTTGCAACCAGTATATTCACATGTGGGGGTTCCTGATAGTTTCAATTGACAATACAAAGAAAGCAGGCTTTAATTTCTGGGGTTCAATTTCACAAGTAAATAATTGTGGAACTACTGCTCATTAAAGGCAGTAGATGTATACCTGAATATTCCTTTAAAAATATTCCTATTCAACAGTTTGGAGAAAGTTAATGTTTGAAACTACATGAGTTACACAACCAGCAGGGTGTGAAAATTGAGTGAAGTGATGTTTTACCATCTTTCGGGACTGACTTAGAAATGATGATAAAAGTTTATACTGATCGCTCACTTCAGGAGAGAGATTATAATTCACAGCCATTTCAGATGCACTGAACATTCTCCCTTTCTCCTAGCACCTAAATGGATAAAAATGTTTGTCTTGGATGAAGCAGATGAAATGCTGAGCCGTGGATTTAAAGATCAAATTTATGAAATTTTTCAAAAGCTAAGCACAAATATTCAGGTAAAATCAGAGTTCATTTCTAACTAAGATGAGCAGCTTGTGTTGGGAAATGCAGGATAAGTTACAATGTAGCTGTGAAGTGCTGTATTGTCGTTCCCCCTGCTCAAATAAATTGTTTCATACTATACCTGTCTGCCTAGATCTCACAGTAGACAGGAACGCTTGGTCTCATACATGTAATGTCTTTACTTTCCAGTGTTAAGATTAATATTAATCAATTGATAAGACTTAGCGATCTTTTTTCTTTTGTGTGCTCATATTGCACAAATTGCCCTCTTGTATATTGGTGTTGATGGTATCATTAGAATTAGTGTTTCTGATTAGTGTAGCTTCTGAATATTGGTATTTCCCTGATGGTGGAAATGGAGGAGAGAGGCTTCTAAAATTGTATTTCTTAGGTTGTATTGCTGTCGGCCACAATGCCAATGGATGTGTTGGAAGTGACCAAAAAGTTCATGAGAGATCCTATACGTATTCTGGTGAAGAAAGAAGAATTGACCCTGGAGGGTATCAAACAATTCTATATTAATGTTGAAAGAGAGGTAGGTGCTCACTTCATTTCCTTAGCCTGGCAGTATTTAGAACTCTTGTCCTTTCACCTTCTTGTTCAAGCACTGTGCTAAAATTACAGAAACCAGGGCTGAGCCTTAGTTTTTGTAGTAATGCTAGCAGAGTACACATAAGAAGAAGAATAAATGCACTAGATCCAAAATGACTTGGGTGGACCTCTTTCTTAATGTCCAGTGTCCTAGGTCTTAAGATTTGGTGCAATATCTATGTGGACACTTAAGTATAAACTGGTTTCATATGTTGTAGCTGCATAATTCTACATACTGAAATACTGTAATTGGTTTTTCTGTACTTCTTGCCTTCCCAAAACCCAGTTTAAGAAAAGTCTCACAGGGTTTCAAATTAAATTCTGTCCTAAATGTATATAAAATTCATTTAGGAATGGAAGCTGGATACTCTCTGTGACTTGTATGAGACACTGACCATTACACAGGCTGTTATTTTCCTGAATACAAGGAGAAAAGTGGATTGGCTTACAGAGAAAATGCATGCAAGGGACTTCACGGTCTCTGCTCTGGTAAGAGTTGATGTTTTGCTTAATCTTAAGACATCTTGTGCTTTTGTGTCCTCCTTAGGACTGCTTTAAATATATTGATCTCCACTTCACTCGTGTAATCAAACAATTCCTACTAAAACAGGGATGGGGAACTGGCTTGCTGGATCCATCCCCCAAGGCTAAGGGCTCCCCCCACAGAGCTGGAGTGCACAATCTAGCACAGTGCCCTGTAGGTGCTGGTGTGCAAGACAAATGTGGGAGAGTGTCTCTCCTTCTCAATAAGGGACCACATCAGTAAGGTGTGGTTGGTTTCAGGTTTTTTCGCTTCCCACTTGTGTGGCCTGACCTTTTTTCTTCCACATACCATCCCCCCCACCCCATGGGTCTGTAGCCTCAAGCTAAAGGTTCCCTGCACTAAAGTGCTGAACAGATGGATTCAGACTCTGGGCATCAAAACTAGTGCTGTTTAAATGAGAGAAGCAGGTTAAGTTACAATGTAGCTGTGAAGTGCTGTATTGTCGTTCCCCCTGCTCAAAGCAAAATGTTTCATACTATCCCTGCCTGTCTTAATCCCATAGCAGATGGGGACGCTTGGTCTCATACATATTAAAATAAGTAAACAGACTTACCTGTTATGGAATATTGGAATTGTAAAAGTATGTTTTTAAATTTCTCCAGCATGGTGACATGGACCAGAAGGAACGAGATGTTATCATGAGAGAGTTTAGATCAGGATCAAGCCGTGTCTTGATCACTACTGACTTGTTGGTAAATATCAATCTTTTTAGCATATGTACAATGTACTTCAGGTGGCACATGACTAGGATTCATCATTGAATTTGATCCACTGCTTGATTATTACATCTGCCATGGAGGAATGTGATGTGAATCCTAATCCATGTCCCCCAATATATTAGTTACTTGAATACTGCACCTGTCCAGTGTCTTTTAGTTCAGCATGTGCACACTTGCTGCCAAAAGCTTCTGAATTTGGTGAAGGTTACTGTGACCAAACCACTCAAGCTCTTGGAAGAGTAAAGACTACACTCCACTATGCACTACACAGTTGTAGTTCATCACTATAATGTGGTCAACAAAACAGACTAAATTATTTAACTGTGAAGTGTATAGGCTTGTATTAAGAATCTGTATTGGCTTCTAGGCTCGTGGCATTGATGTGCAACAGGTTTCGTTAGTTATAAACTACGACCTGCCGACCAATCGTGAAAACTACATTCACAGGTTAGTAGCTGCAGCACTGCATCACTTAATGATTCTCGTATTTTCATTGCTTCACATTTTTTTTACATGTTATCTGCATAACTTGGGCAACATCTACCACTCTTGGTTTTCTTGGCTCACTCAATGGGTGCAAAATTGGAATAGTGTGTGTGTATCCAGCCATACCAGAAAGGGCATACCTATCTGTGCTTTAATGTTTAGCTGTTTCCGTAATTCTGAAATGGGGGTGGGGCAGAGCTTCTTGGTTAGTCGATGAAACAAAGCAGTGGGAAAACTTAGATGTCTTAGCATTGTTACCAGATCCATTAATTGCTGAGGTCTAGTCCAATTGGCATCTGCTGCTGAATTATCTTGTGGAGTTGCAGATATTGTAACAAAATAACTAGACTTGGCATGAATGAACACTATTAGAAAAGTTTGTCCACCACATCTTACTGTATAAGTCTTAGCTAACTTCCTGTGTTGCTGCTGTTCAGCTAGTAGGCTTCCATATTAGCAACTTCAGTTAGTATATGTTGAATTCCTGAGAGGTCTAATTGTGCTGTTTTGTGACTACATTGTTTGTTCTTGGTGGTTCCTCTTATAGTGGGATTATTTCCTCTGTGATGGTTCTTTTTCCGGTAGAAATTTTTGTTTCCGTAGGCTTAGCTAAATACTTCTAGTGGCTTTGTCCTTAAATGAAGTAAACTGTGCTCTGTTACTTGATGTAAAAAAATACAGGAGTCGATAGCAGCAGTTGATGACACAAGATGGTGCTCAGAAACGGCGTTGACCTAATTTAGGACGTGGATTCGTAAACGGCACACTGTTTGAATAAAGAGCGAGTTGGTATTTATATTTGTTTTTCTTTTGTCATGATTATTCACTTTAAGTTTTGTCATGAGCCATTCTTGTGCATTTTAGTTATTACGGAAAAGGTGTTTCACATTGTCCAGTTTTTTTCATGATGGAAGGCAGAACTGTGGTGGGCTGTGAACTAACTAAAACTAATGTGGTGTAATATCTCTTAAAACTGTTACACAAAAGCTATGATTTTTTTTGTTTAGGTTTGTCAAACTATTAAGTTTTCCCACTGAAAACAGCATCTTAAATCCTAAAAAAAGTTTTTGCTATGAAATAGTACCTACTGTTCTGCATTACAGAACATAATTGGAGTAAATCTGATGGAATGGTACTTAAATCTTGTTGATTTTTAATGTTCTTGAATTATTGATCTGTGTGCTAGGCTGACCAAGCTCTGCCCATGCTTGGGAAATGAATGAGTGGCTGGAGAGTGACTGGCTGTGTAAGTCTTATTGCAAGCCATTCTCAAAAGTGCAAGAGTGGGGAGTTGAAATAATTTTGCACTTGGATGTCCACAACATCAAGAAGAGCTACACCATTATGTTGCAGCCAAAACAGTAATCTTTCTCTACTGTGTTCTTCATAGGTTGGATATTTCTAACAAGGTGTTGGCACTAACTGCTAACTTTTTAGCCAAATATAACTTTGATTGGCAACTAGCACTGCAAATAAGGATACACTGGCCTTTGGCAGATAAGGATCTTAGCATTTTGAACATAAGTGGATTGAGGCTGTTACAAATATGTTCAATAGATTACTGGGCATACAGGGGGGGACCATTGTGATCATCTAGTCTGATCTCTCTATAATGGACATAAATCTCTCAAATTCCTATAAGAGGGTATCTCCTTAGAAATGTCTTAATATCTTCTGTTCTGTGCAGAATTGGACGAGGTGGTCGTTTTGGCAGGAAAGGTGTGGCTATAAATTTTGTCACTGAAGAGGACAAAAGAATACTTCGGGATATTGAGACTTTCTACAATACTACAGTGGAGGAGATGCCAATGAATGTGGCTGATCTCATTTAATCCCTGGGATAAGAGGTTTTTTGAATGCAGTGCTCGCTGTTGCTGAATAGGCGATTCACAACGTGCATTGTGCTTTCTTTGGGGATATATTGAATCTTGTCTCAATGCTCATAACGTATCAGAAATACAGATTTTTGATAAGCGAAGCGACATTGTCGTGAGCTCTTGTGGAGAAAGCCATTGGCTTTATCCACTTTAGGGTTAGACTGTTGGGGTTGGGTGGAAAGTCATGGGGTCTGTAAATTTTTCCTTTCTTAGAAATTTATTTCCTAGTTCAATAGAAGTGGTTGTGTTAGATGTTCTTTATCATTTGATAATTTACTTATGGACTAAAAGATATAAGTGCTGTATCAAATCAGCCAATTATGTTAAACTAGCATACCTTCTGTTATTGTATGTTTTACTTATACTTTAGATTGAATTGGAAAGGCCTTTAAAATATATAACTTTTTATAAAGAGTATTAAAATGCATTATTGTTTGGTATGTATTTATTCAATAAAGTATTTAAATAGTGGTAAGTGATCTGGACCCTGTTGAAGCCCCAGCAAGCAATCATATTGTCTAAGTTAGGGTTAAACCCAGTAAAATTGCCATATTGCACATGTCTTAATGAAGTTTGAATGTTCAATAAAATGCTTCTATATTCACTTTAAGTGTAAAATGTTTGACTGACAGTGACTTCCATTGTGGGACTAATGCTTATCACTCTTAGGGTGTTACACTGATCTTATTTCTCAAGTTGGGTGTGTGAATAGTAACCAGTACTAGCTGTCCTTAACCTTTCCTTCTCCAGCTCTGAGGGGGCTGCAGAAATGGCCTGAGAACCAAATGTAAAAAATGCAACTAGTTTCACCCAGAAAGTAAGTAAAGCTTCATTAATCACCCAAGAACAGTTAAGCCAATAACAAGCCTTCAAGCCCAGCTCATACTGTCAGGAGCCCAGTGACAACTGCAAGGAGTGGGTTTTGCCCACAAGCTTGATACCATCTGTTTGTTAGTCTGGAAGGCACTACTAGTGTATTTAGGTTTTTCCTGTTCACTTCAGAGGGGTAGCTGAGTTAGTCTATGGGATGTCTAACTGCTTTAAATAGACTAGAGGTGGCTAACCTGTGGCTCCTTACCAAGTCCAGGGCTGCAGCCTCCAGTGACAGTTTTCCACTGGGCTGGAGGATGCTTGCTGTTCAACCTCCAGCTCTGCCCTAGGTGCTGTCCTGGTCTACCCTTTCCCCCTAGGATCCTGCCACTTTCTACCTTCTCCACTGAGCCTGTCACACCCCTGCTTTCCCCTCAAGAGTCTCTCTGGAGAACTTTTCCTCCTGCCCACTAATCAGGAGGCAGCACAGACTGGTGGAGCTGCCAGTGGCCAGGATGTGCTGAGAATGGTGGTGAGGAGATCAGTGCTAGTGACAGAACTGTTGCTCTCTGGCAATGTGCATTGGTAAATTCTGGCTCAGGTTTAGGTTGGCCACCCCAACAGACTTGTTTTCTTCCCTACGGGGCGGGGGGAGAAAAAAGCTTGACTTTTCTACAAGCATATCCATGTAAAATGCTTGCTTGTATGTAATGCAACACTACCATAATTTAAATAGCTTGCACTAGTGTTAATTAGTGTTCTGCAAAGTGGATACTATGGTGGGAAATAAAACTAGTTTAGACAAATCAGGAGTAATAGACCTCCTTGAATCTCAGTGTGGGGTCTTGATCCCCAGCTTGAAGACTGGTCTAAGGTATATTAAAAAAAATTATCCTAAAGAGTAGACAGCTTGAATGCAACTGAGGCCCTGTTTAAAATAGTTGAAAGGGCTGCTGTTACTTGCTGGAGCTAAGCCCAAAACAAGCATGCTGGTACTCCTAATACTCCCTATATTCCATACTCTGTAGGCAAGAAGTTGAGGGTAGCTGAGTTAGACTAACAGGGAAAAGACTTAAACTAAGTAGCACCTTAGACTAACAAAACAGATAGTATCTTAAGCTTTCATGGGTGCAGCCTGCTTCTTCAGAGGACTGGAGCATTAGAAGTCCAGCTTCAAGAACAAGGGGCTGATGAGAACTAGTACCTCCACAGTAAATCATTAGGATGTGGAAGGCAGTGTGCAGCCAGTGGCTGTCCCTGTTCATACCATTTGCATAAACTAATTGCAGTATAGGAATTCTATTCCTTACTGTTGATGGCTAACTCAGCCAGATGGGGGAAAAGCTACACATTGACAGGTGGGGGCAATAGGCCCCTGGCTGTAGAACACTACAGGCCAGGGCAAATCAACCTGAAGTTGTGGACTTAGGTCCACAGATACTTAATTTGAAGGTGGTAAGATTAGCTGCTAGCTTTGACACTTTAGTACTCAGTTTCACTCCTCACCCCCATGCTCTTCTCACTAATAAACATCACAAGTCTGAACTAATAGTTACAATAACAGTCACCTCTAAGCACTTCAAGGCAGACAGGCTGTAAACCTACAGATCTGCTTTATAGCTACAAGTAGCTGTACTACATTTTTTGGGGATTCAGGCTAGAGCACCCCATTCTTAACACTATTCCCATCCCTGAAACACCCCGACTTTGTGCTAGCTATGCACCATTGTTTACCTACTCAAGATCTAACTTCCTATTGTCATTCTACACCCACTCTTATTTCAGGTGCTTTTATGGAATTAAGATGATTACCCTGAAGAATGATACTACCGAGGGAATCTTTTATTGGACCAGCTTCTGGTGGTGAGATGCTTTTGAGCTTACCAAGAGACCAGAATACTTCTATAGTAACCTCACAAGCTCATGAATCACCAGCAAAGTTGATCCAAAAAGATACTTCACCCTGTTGTCTTTAAGTTTAAAATGGAGTTTACATGTAAAACTATAGCAGATTTTGTTCCCTCTCATCCATGTGCAGAATCTGCATAAGTAAGCTATTATGGAAGATGAGCATCCTCTTGTGCCTTGATAACTAGTTAAGATAGGAAACAGGAATAGTCAGTTTTCAGAAGGCAGAGATGCAACTAGTAGAGACCCATAGGGATCATACTGGGACCAATCCTAATCAAATGATTTAGAGAGGACTAAACAGGTGCCAAAATTTGCAGAGGATATAAGACTGAAGAGCTTGAAAAGGATCTTAACTAGGTGAGGGAGCAAGCAACATAATGGCAAATGAATATTAATGCTGATAAATGCAGAGTCAACAGGGTGATTATCCCATTTTGTTCATTCCCTCTAGGCACTTGGCATTTGCAGTCAGCACAGAGGCTACTGAGCTAATGGACCAGTTCTTATAGCATGTGTAGGTGTGCACTCTGAGCTAGACAGCACCTGAATCCCACCTGACTGGGTGCTGGCTGCTCAGTTTACAGGGAACAGTGGGTTTGTAAGGCTTTATCGGAGCAAGACAATTTGAAAAGCCTCCTGGCAGGTAGATGCACCTGTCAGTACTTACACTTTAAGAGCCAGCCCATACTCCCTCTGAATTAACACTTGCTAGTGTACAGAGTTAGGTTTATAACCTAAAGCACATGTCAGTAAAAGAAAATCAGATTTTTTAAAAGATTCATATAGATGTCTGCTTAGTACAGAGCAGTTGTGTAGCCTCAAGTTTAAGAAAACCAGCACTTTATTAAAAGTATTTTTATAAAAGACAAGTTATCAGGTCTTCACAACCACTAAAGCAGCATCTACTCCCTTCATTTTGCAGGATTCTTACACATGTCAGAGAAAGATTAGTCATCTCTCAACATTTAAAATCTTTGTTCCAGTCACTGGTGGTAAACAGTTTGCAAACTCCTAAAATGATACTTAGTGGTGGGTTAGACTACCACTCCATAATGAGATTAAATCTTCACAGGTGACTGATTTAATATGCTAGCATCTAGAGATGCTGTAGAGCAGGGGTGGGCACAATCCAGATTTGGCACACCAGCACTTAGAGCAGCTGCAGCCACTTTAAAAGCAGTCTGGACAGGGAAGAGAAAGCTGTGTGCACTCCCTGCCCCCATCAAAATCCCTGTTTCTAGCCAATAGGACAGTCCCCAACCTTTAGAGGCTCCTTTGCACCCAGTGCTGGCATGTGACCTGGGGCTGCCCAAACGCCACATGCCAGGCACCATGGTGCCCACAGGCACTGCATTGGGGACCACTGCAATAGGAGAGGAGAAAATTTTGCTGAAGGCAGGGGCATTGAATGAAGCCCCCTCACTCAGCCAGCAGAGGTGCTGGCTGGGAGCCTCCTAGCCAGGGCCTGCCTCTAGAGCCCCCCCCTCCCCCCCCCCAGGTCACAACTGCCTTCCCAATCGTGCAGCCCTTGACCACTTTACCAAAATCTTAAGAGTGGCCCCCATTAAAAATTATTGCCCACCCCTGCTGTGGAATGACAAATCTGCACTGGGATGCACTATTTTCTGAACACTGTTTCTTTCAAGCTCTATGAATTGTTAGGTATTGCTACAATTGTGGCTTGTGAATGAAGTATGTCAAAACAGCAAGTGTTAGATTCCAAGAATGAGTTTTTCAGTTGCAGGGCAGTTTATTACAAAACCACAGAATAAATGTACAGATCACTGGTCTCAGAAGAGTAACACAGCAAATAAAAAAAATCTTGGGTGTTCACACTGAAGTCAGCTGGTACGATTTCTCCCCGAATAACTAGCTGTTCTGTGTTAATTGCTGCATCACAATGGCACAGAGACTGATCAGCTGCAAGTACTCATCTGCACCATCTGTCAAGCATTTGTCTACCTCCTGCAAAATAAACACATTAAAACAACCCCTTAATTGGAAAGAGGTTTTCAGTACTTTGACAACAATTAAGATTGAAAAGGTAGTAACTATGCAAAAAGATAAGTTTTCCCACAGAGCTGGCATTTCTATTGTAATTCATAAAACTGAAGAGAGGCAGCTGCCAGGGGCATTTGCTGCACCATCCCACCCCGCAGGCAGACAGGAGTTATACACATCTTGGAAACGTTTCCATGTGGTCTGCACTTTACTGTTGAACATTAATGAACAAGAGATTCTCCATTAGCCTTGCAACTTCAACTGATAAACAGTGACTACTCATAAGTATTAGCTGCTCGTACTTGAAACAGTTCTATAACCATCATCACTGAATTTAGCAAGCACACCTCCATGCATATGCCATATTTATTCAACTTTTTGGTCGAAACAAAATGCCTATAGAACATTTTAGGAAGTTATAGTCCTAGTTCAAAGTTTGTTAAAATAAACATGAATAAGTAAACGTTGGATTAGAGCATTCAAATGGGAATTATAAAATCTAGGTTTCAATTATAGTTGTGCAGACTGATCTTTGGTATCTCCCTGTCTGTTCCCTCAGTTCTGGGTGCCTTTCCTATCAACTGTAGAAAGGTGCTTACCTTTATCAGTAGTGTTGAGAAACTTAAACTTAATTTGTAAAGCTTTGAGATCTGTAGAAGATGCCAACAACCTCAGCACTCCCTCTTGTCCCTTACAGTGAAGAACTTTTTAAAAAATTATCAAAAAAGCCCTTAGTACAACTCAAAGATTGTCCCCACTCCTCCATAGGTGTCTCTTCAGCTGTAGCTAAGGGAACAAAAACCTGAACTCATGCAGGATTCCCTGTTTGAGCAAGTCACAACTTGTGTGTTTTCTGGGAAATTGATGCAAGTTAGACAATCCAAGGGAAAAGGCATTTGGTCCAAAACAAAGCACTTTTTTTTAAATAAAAAGACACCCTCTACCTTGATTTCTTATTATCTACTGTAAAAAGAAATTTCCATCTAAGGAATTCTCAATGGGTATATTTCAAAAAATGATTTACTCAATATTTGAGAAGTAGTTTAGCTTTTTAATAACCTTGTGCCTCCTTTTGATCTCAAGTTGCCATAAAGGGAAGTCTCTTGTTCATTTACATTCCTATAGAGATGGCTATTAAACATGCACTTTTATGTCTTAATGCATATTTAAACACCACAAGCTTTAAGGAAGTGTAGCTGTTAGGCCCAGATTAAAAATTAATCTGCATAGCCAGCACCTCAACTCCTTTTCTGCCTAATGCAACTGGGAAAGCTGCACGCTGACAATACCAATGTAGAACATGAAACTGAATGAGACACAAGCAGCTTGGTGAACACAAAAATCAACCTAGAGTTAAGTATTTTGTGGGAGGGGTGGGAGAAAGGAATCATGGGTAGATGTATCACCTTTAGGTAATGACTAGCTAACACGACAACAAGTTAATGGAGACTTACAGCAAGCTTCTCTGCAATAATAGATTTCTGCTTGTCAGTGAGATCTTCTCTCTCAACAATATCATCATGAAGCTGGTTTACAAGCAAAGCAACAGCATACCCTTCATTTATCAGATTCTGTAATGTATGGAAAAAGGGAACAAGGTAGCATTAATCTGAATTTAAAGTTTATAAATGTAGCAGTAGACATCAGGGTGGGGGCGAGTAATATTTAAAGTGACACTATCAAGTTCAAGACTACTTAGGAAGCTTAGAAATTATCAACAATGCCTAACCAGTGCAGTGATGTTTGTTTGTAGTAGCTCTGGGACACAAACTGTTCCATGTGCCTCTGTGTGCTGTTAACACCAAGCCTCACAATTGTGGAAGGCCATGCCAATGGAACTCAAAAATGCAGCAGGCTCACCTACACTGCCTTTCCTGAGATGAGAGGGGACATCCCCTCCCACTATTTCTGCCATTCCTATGACAACTTCCTCCCCACCAAGTCATGAACTGCCTAGTGACTGGGTCCCCTATGAATGTCCCAGAGGGAATGAACAGAGCAGGGAATCAAGTGACCATCCTGTCACCCATTCCCAGCTTTGGACAAAAAGGTCTAGGGACACTTCAAACCATTACCCCTTTTGCATACAGTCTTCAGCAACCTGTGGTGTCTCAGGAGGCCCAAGACGATCTGAGTGCGCATCACAAAAATTCTTCTGCTCCATAATTCAACAGGACAGCTTCATCTATTGTCAACTTAACTCAGGAGAAGTCCATACTCAAATTAACAGGGAAAGATTTCTTCTCACTTTAAAAAAGTGCTCTCCTTCAGATCCAGGCTAAGGTCACTGGACTGATTAATGTCAAGCAGCTTGTATTACATTTGCACCATAAATGACCTTAGCAGTCTTCAATTTCAACCTGCTACTAGGAGTGTTAGTGTACCCCCTACAACTAGCTCAGAGCCAACAGCATGGCATTTTAAAACCAAAACCTCACACTTAAATTGTTTTGAATTTACATGACAGCACGAGAGAAAACATGCAAGCATTTCTACCTTTGCTACTGTTTCCAGTTTTTCAAAAGAGCCACTTTGACAGGCAGAGAGCAGGCCATCAATTGTTTCCTTAGGGACAATCTACAACAAAAGAAGTGACATTTACAAAGCATGCACATACTGTCCCAAGTTTCTGGATGTATTTAAAACTTAAGTCAATTATTAAGTTTTAAACTCAATAACTGACTTAACTAGCACCCAAATTCACCACCAGAAAATATAGATTCAAACAATAGTTCTGGAAAATAGTTGTGGTGTTCTTATATAGATAACACTCTTCCCCTGCACTCCCAACAGCTTTTCGTAGGAAAAGGTTGAACGAATAGGCTTGATATTAAGATCATATGAAATGGAAATAGGTATGCATTAATTAGAATTGTTATTGCTATTAGGAACGGAGTATGAAACCAGGCTATTTTTGCATGACAAGGAGCACCTACTTTAATAAATGGATCAGTCTTTATACCATTTTGTAGTTTCCACCATGTATGTGTGAAAACAAACAATTCAGGTTAGCCTGAAGCAACTAGACGATCAACCAGCAAATAAGAGATTGTTACAAAGTGTTAAGCCATTTAACTTAGAAAAACACTGTTAGCTTTTGCTTTGGACACATTATTCCTGCAAACAGCACACTTCTCTTCGCTCATGAATTTTTTTTTTTTTTTTAAAGTCTCCAGTACTAAAGGCTACCACTAGTCTGTAATAGTAACATACAAGGAAGATCTTAAATATATCACCTAGATGCAGATTAAGTTCCTCTGCTTTTTAGCTGATCATATTGAAACCGAAGCTTGTTGTTCACCAGAGCAGGGATATATAATTACAATATTTTGTTTTCACATTCTTCCATTTCAACTGGAAGTTATTGTGAAAGTTCAGCCTTTTACACATAGAAGAGGATTAGTTTTCACATTTTCAGCTAAGAAATTAAACGGTGGGAGGGGGTGGGGGAGGATTTAAGTTTGATTTTAAGAATATGCAAGGGAATCAGTTCTGTTCTCTTCCTCTCAAACAAGAAATCATGACCCCAGAAGAGGTAATGAAACTGGCTCTGAGGGTAGCACATATAACCCAAATACTCTGTGTCCAATACGTATGTCCTACTGCTCAGCTTTTCCCCACTCTTATTCCAAGGTTTCTTGCTTGAGGAGTAAGTATCATTTTGCCTTAGCAACACTTTCATAATGAAGTTTTAGTAAGCTGGTCTTCCCTCAGGTTTCTACTGTTCCTATCAGCATTACCTACCTAGAGAAGTAACAGTTACACTGCTACCGAGCAAAAGCCACACAGGTACTTATAGGGACATGGTCAGCTTGTGTAAAGTTAAATAAGAACTAGAATGGTCCTTCGAGCTATTCTCTGGCTGCAGTTCCAAACCAAAGTTTGCAGCACTGTGTTAATGCAGGAGAACCTAAAGGTGCAATTAATTCAAATGTTCAACCTAAAGGATGTGGAAAATTTGAAGTGCATAATTGATTAGAATGATTGTACTTTAAAATGTTTTAATACAGGTTAAGGGGTTTGACAGACTTTACCTGTGTTGCATATTTCCTGTTTTGCACAATATCCTTGAAGTTAATGCTAAATGCAGATGCCTTTCGTTTGACAACTGCAGACATAAGAATATTGCAACATTCTTCAAAATTAAATTAATTTTGCATATTAAGTAACAGGTTATGTAAGGGACAAATAGGAGTAAAAGAAGTTATTGAAATCAGCAAGCAACTCAGATTCAGGGAAGAGATGTACTGCATAAGAGCATGAAGTGTTCACATTATCACAGGAGAAACTAAACAAAATCATGTATTGCCATGAAAGCCTACCCCTGCAATTTCAGTGACAATCTTCTCCGTGATCTCTTTCCCACCTGTTAATCGAGTAGCACTTTGAAGAAATGTGATTGCTTTTCTTAAGTCTCCTTCTGACACTTGAACAAGACAAGATATTGCCTGAGAAATAGCAAGAAAAGATGACAAATGGTATTTTAACTAGAACATTTACCCAGCATTGCTCAGATCTTTAACTCAAATAAGTTTTTTTCTTCATTGAAATATTATTCTGAGAAAGAGGGGTTCAGTATGCAGGCTGGCCCAGGAAGAAAGAACTACCACCTCAGCCCTCTCTTACTGCAATGACTTGGGGCCAGGTCAGAAGGGCTTGCTCACGGCTGCTGCAGCAGGTACAGCCGGGGAAAGGGTGCCCGGCTGGGAAACAGAAACTCTTTCAAATATATAGGTTGCCTGTTTTGGAGCACGTTAGCTGCTGCACACACTTCCCCCAGAGTAGTCAAACCAAGTCCAGTACCTATTCCAGACATTTTCACCTCAAACATACGCGTCTATACACAGATGAAGCAAGCATGACATGAGCTGCCTATGTAGTCAGATTCAGCAGAAAGACAGCGTTGAATCAAGTGTGCTTATTATACCAGGCAATTGGTTCTTTAGATTCTAAAACTGTATAGTTCTGCACAGAGCCTTCCCTAGAGGACAGCAGGGGCTGAGGAAATCCTCTCAATGCCCTAGGCCCAGCACACACTCCCCTGCCACAGGCCCCATCCCTCTCCTGGACCACCCTTCTCCCCTCCCCAAGTCCTGCCCTGGCTGTGTCCCTGCTCCACTCCCTTGCTCCTGCCCACCCCCACTCATGGGACACAAACCAGGGTCCCGGCACAGGGTGGCCCTCCTCCCTCACAACATGGTGGCGGGAGCCAGAACAGCCCGCAAACCACTCAGCTCTGCCCTGCCACCCTCTCCCGGCACACTGCACTCCACTTCTCAGCGGTGGCAGGAAGCAGAGCAACAGGGCAAAGAGGAGCAGGCTGCCAGACTGCTCTGGTTCCTGCTGCTCTGGTGAGCGCAGGGGGGCGAGCCCTGCTGCTGCCCTGCACCACACCCTCAAGTAATCCCTTGAGTCCCATCCATACAACAGTTGAGGTGGCCACTGCAGGGCCACCCAAAGTGCAGGCCCTAGAGCAGCCACCCTGAACTGTCCGATGGATGGGGCAACTCTGGTTCTGCATGAATTTAAGTGATTTTAGAGTTCTCATTTTGAAGTAAGTTTATGAATGTTTCTACATCTAGAAAGATAAAAAAAGCAGCAATTCTTTGAATGGTACCTGGTATTTAAAAAAAAAAATCATCCCAAAGAAACCCACACCACAACACACGAGAGATACAGAAAGCTGGGTATGAAATCCAGGATGTATACATCAATACAAGCTCAGGCTGTATTTTCTATTTAAAGTTAACTTCATACTGACAGCATGGCTATTTTAGGTTGTAACATGGCTTCACTTTAGCAAACAGAGGCTAAAGCCAGAAACAGACTGTTCCAACCCTTGTTCTGACAAACTTTTTTCTGGTCTTTGTCATTGAAACGGTTATCTCCTCTGTGTAGTTAAGATAATATTTAAAATTAGTTCATGGACTGTTTAGCAAGAAAGTAAAATGAGTATAGGTAATGCCTATTTACCTCTTTCACTGCAATATGATCACACTCCTGATCAAGATGTGAACCTATACAGTGACCATGAAGCTTACCTCATTGCTAACTTTCACATTCTCCTTTTCAGAAAGGGTCAGGAGTCTCTGCCGCTGGATTTTATCTGTCAGGGGCTTGAAACGGAATTTAGAGCATCGAGATGTTAAGGGTTCAATTATCCTAGAAGAGAGGAATGAAAAAGTGTTCAATCTGTGCAGAGAACTCCTCAGGAATCTATCAGCTTAGATTAGAGCAATAAAACAAGAGGACTTCAAATTGCAAAGACTTAGTGATAAAAAATGAAACAGTTTTAACCTTTCAGATTTGTTAGATGTATTTCCACAGCTAGAGAGCTAATTATTCTCAAACTACAAGTTAAAATCGAAAGGTTTGTGCTAGCAAAGACAATACAAACCTGCTGATGTAATTACAAATAAGGCAGAAGCGTGTAGTTTTAGATTCTCTCTCCATAGTACGTCTTAAGGCTGCCTGAGCTGCTGAAGTCATAGAGTCTGCTTCATCCAAGATTACAATCTTAAAAGGAGGACAAATCTTACCGCTAAAAAAATAAATGCCCATCATCCAATTAAAACAGAGTTCATTGTTTTCAAATATAACATGCAGTAATATTTAAAAGTCAAAACTTGATGCACAGTACTACCATTATCTACAGGCAATATTCCAATATTCAAAGAGCAGAAGTGAAGTAGTGTGCATTAACTTTTGCTCATCTACCATTTGCCAAAGGACTAGCAGTTGTAAGAGGGGCAATTAATAATTTATCTCCAAGCCTGACACTTGAACACCACAAGATTTGTTTGCCAAATTCTTATTAATGCTTTCAACTACTTCCTATAATACTCAATGCAATTTTTTTTTGCAGGATTCCTAAATCCCTATGGGATATTCTAAAATTTAGAGATGGCAGGCTGATCTCAGTATGTGAGATGGGACAATTACTCCTTCCAGTTAGTCTTGGGCTTCTGTTACCTCTAGTCAGTCACTCTCACTTCTGCTCCCTCATCCACATAGGCCTCTCCACAGCCCCAGAATCCCTTTAGCCAATTATACCAAGTCTTTTTCAATTGATGAGACCCTGTATCTAGTGTTCATAATACAATGGGTTTTTGTTTAAATCACAAGCTATGAAATTTGTTCCCAGTCTAACTAGTCACTCATTCAAAATTTGCTGTCATGTACACTGAATTACCAAATCTACGAGACTACTTTTTTTTGGAATCTCATACAAATTCTCCCCAGTGACATAAGTGCAATTTGCACTTGAGTATCAAGGGGAAGTCCCCTTGACCTGCATTTTTGTTCTAACTTCAATTATTCTATACTGACGTGAAGCTTAAGTTTGCAATTTAATTTAATTAAAAGTAACCAAAATAAATCTATGACACACTTCATTGAGAAATACAATCCATCATATAGTTGGCTTTGATCTCTTGCTTACTCTGGGCGATTTCCAGATACAGTTAACTGAGCAAAAGCCTTCACTTTCTCTCGAATCACTTGTATTCCACGTTCATCAGAAGCATTTAACTCAAGCACCCTCTGTCGGAACAATTCAGGCCTGTGAAAAATTCAAAATGTTGCATGAGCCACTAAACCTTATTAACAAGCAAATGACTCAGAGTTTCTAGGCATCTTCATGGGAAATATTTAACCACTGACTCTTAATTCAGAGAAAGGTGTAACAATCTAATGGCTGGAAGTTGAAGCTACACAAGTTCAGACTGGAAATAAGAGTATACATTTTTAATGGTGAGTAATTAACCATTGGAACAATTTTCCAACTGTTGTGATGAATTCTACATGGATTTTTGAAATCAAGATGGATGTTCTTCTAAAATGTTTTCTCTTAGAATTATTTTGGGGGAGTTATATGTCTTCTGTTATATTATATAGGTGGTCAGACAAGATGATCACAGTGATCTCTTCTGGCATTAGAGTCTATAAATTATCAAGTAATCATGGGCAGCAGGTGAAATCCTGCTTTAGGAAGGCTACCACACTGATCCTGCCCTTTCCACTCAAGGTCCTCCACCCTTTAATTGGAGGAGCCCATCGCCAGGGCAAGCTACCATCTCCCTCCTCTGAAGGCCCACTGGGGGCAGTGGAAGACTTACTAGCAGGCAGCAGCAGCAGCAGGCAATGCAGCCCTGAAGGAAGGGGTAGGGCCAGGGTGGCCCAGGTGTCTGGGAGAGGGTTGATGGCTTGGCCATCCCTGGCCTATTATACCTGCCCCCATGTGAGTGGGATTTTGTTTGTAGTATAATTCTTATTAATGCTGATTTATAGTAACTATTTTGTTAATGGTAGAGTATGTGTTAAGTTTATTAAAATTCCAGTCCTGAGACCATCTAAACTTACATAATCTAGTTTACATCAAAGGCTTCTGATTTTCAGTTTTAACAAATACCAATAAACTCCATCCCCCCCATATTAAAAAAATAAATAAAATCTGTTTACACAGTAAACATCAAAACTCACCTGAAATGGTCATTTGCATGTAGACAAGACCTTGGATACAACTGCAACAAGGACTGGATTGTGATTTCTAAAGCACACTAATGTGTGACACAGATTGGTCAGTCCCTGCTGGAGTGCAGTAAAGGTTCCCTACTGCATTTTAACATAATGCTGTTTGAAACACTACTACATTAACGCACACTAAGGGATATTACAAAGATTCTCATTACAGGCCCCTGACCTGAATTTTATATAGATGTCTAGAAAGCACAAATAGCTAATTACTGGCTTGCCCCAATCTTGAAACAGAAGCCCTATTTATAGCAAGAACCTTGACCCCTGGGCTTTGGAAAAATTGAAACCTGCAAGTTACACCATTGCTCTAGGCAAAAACATTAAGCAAGCAAGCAAAGCCAAAGACCCTTGATTTCTTTGCTATTGCTATTTCTATTTCCACAACTACTCTGCAAATCAAGTTGCATAATAACTTGTAAAATCATCTGTTGTAGCCATCAACAGTACTCTGCAGTTGATGTGTTTTCAGGAGCTATGCTGCTAAAAGATTTAACTGGATACAAAAAGAACCTGCAGGGCATTAGTCACCACAGGCCATTTGAGCCAAGAAAGATTAACAGTTTTATGTTTCCAGAACCTGAAACATCTGCTTCAGAAAGAATTGGAATTGGAAAAACCTCCTCATTAGTAGCTTTAACTTAAAACTAGGAATAATCTCTCCCCTCAAACACCTTGGAACTTAGGTAAGTAAAGAAAACAAAAAGATATCCTAACTCACAGAAGAAGTCTAACTAGTTAAGATTCCCATGGCATTAGATTTGAATGCAGGTCAGCCAAGTCTATTTTAGTTGTAACCCTTTGAAAAGTCTGATCAAACAAAAGACACACACAATAATAATAAATGCACACTGTATTATTGGCTATATCACACGTTTTTAAAGAGTTCAGATGCAATTGTTCTCTTCCTCCACCCTCAAAACTCCCTCAGTGTCACCCCTTTAAGAGTTTAGTTCAATAAAAGCTTCATACCATCCTATGATATAAGCAGGGAAGTCGAAGGCAGTCCAGTGGTTCAGTAACTGGGAATCAATAGACCTGGGTGCTGTTATTACCTCAGATTCCTTCAGGCAAGCCACAACCTGCACTCTTAGTTTCACCACTTGTATAACGGTAAGAATGATACTTACCCATTTTTGTGAAGTGCATTGAGGTCTACGGATAAAACACTCTGCACATTCTAAATGCTAAGGATTTGAGTTTTACCATTATGTATAAACATTTTTTTTTTTTATAATCAGTCTTCTGTTTTATGCATAATATTAAATCAGAAAACAGTCAAATGAAGAAGCCACATAAATTCACCACTGCGGAAGGGGGCTTGGTTGCGTGATTCAAATCACAGCACTGACTGAGATTTCATAGTTAAGAGTCCAATGACATGACCTGGTATGAACTAAGTGGTGTAACAAACAAGTGTAAACAGGTATCAGTCTTTCATTGAGGAGGATTTCCAGATAGAGGTGGGATCACCACAAAAGACTCCCAGCCCCACTTTCTCCCTTAACAACAACTTCAGATGTTTTACTTAAGTGGTTTGCTGTGAACAGATTGCCCTCCTCAGGAGCATTATATTTGTCACCAAGCAATACAAGTAGGCTGCTTGAGTATTCCAAAGAGAAAGCTCAACTTCGCATTAGATTCTTATAGATCAGAACACCCCAAAAATTAGAGCAGGCAGTGAGTGAGAGTCACAGGCCAATCTCCCTCTTGGGTGCACCCTTGCGCAAAAAGAACTTTAGTCTCACCCATCTCTTTAGCAGAGCCACACAGCCGTGTATGCGCAGCTCTGTATTCACGATCCTACCAGTGAATGGTGAAGCTGGTGGTGGGCTTGATGAGGGTGTAGGGGCTGAACCGGGCACTTTCTTCTGTATCAGACTCCCTCGAGCTGGAGTTGGGGTCAGGGCCACATAGTGGCTGCTCAGCTGCTCCCAGGGTAGGTCACCCATCTCTTTAGCAGAGCCACACAGCCGTGTATGCGCAGCTCTGTATTCACGATCCTACCAGTGAATGGTGAAGCTGGTGGTGGGCTTGATGAGGGTGTAGGGGCTGAACCGGGCACTTTCTTCTGTATCAGACTCCCTCGAGCTGGAGTTGGGGTCAGGGCCACATAGTGGCTGCTCAGCTGCTCCCAGGGTAGGG